AGCCAATCATCAGCTGGCAGTCTGAAGGGCAGGGAAACAGCCCAATGAACATCACCGCAGAGGAGCCAATCAGCTAGATGTTGCTGGGGCAGTCTGAAGCTTGCTGGCAGCTGGAAGTTTGCTGGGGCCCCTTTGGCTGTGGCTCTCAACAGAGGGGAATGCAACATGCTTCCCTTTGAGTCCTTCTGGTCCATAAACTTAATGGGCAAGCACAAATACACAGACTGTAAGCCTGGGAAGGCAGTGCATGTGTGGAAAGTGTAGTGATACCTGTGATGGATTGGTTATAAGTAGAATTCTCAGGACACCCCTGAGATCCAAACACCCAGAAGAGATCAGCATCCTCTTAGTCCTAGAGATGCGTTGATTTACTCTCTCAGGAGCAGATACCATCCCAACAAATTTTGCAAGGGATATGATCAGAGCTAAAACTTAGCTGCTGGAACTTCCTATTTAGAACTCAGCATCATCCCCACACAGGGAGGATATCAACCTAGTCTGTTCACATGAAACTGCAACGGACAATACATTCTATCCTACTGGTAATCAGGGAAGCTGAAGGCTATTTCAACCCAGTTTATGTTCCATGTAACTCCAGCTGGCAGTTTGATAAGCAACAATAAAAAATAGCAAAGATTTAAAGTTTCTCAGTTCTTGTTCTAAGCGGTGCCAAGCCAAAGAAGAAATAGAAAGAAAAGCAGTCTGGCATAGGCAGTGAACTTCCATCTTTGTTCTTGACAGTTTTGACCACTGTGGTGGAGATAATCCTATTTTTCCCCTTTGGTTTTCTCGCTGTGCTGATTGATTAGTTCATGAATAAACACACATACATATTCCTTTTTTTATTTTATTTTACTTTTTTTCTTCTCTCTCTAATAGCCAAATTCTCTTGTTCTCTATTAGCCCCTACCATCTTTCTCTTTTTACATTTTGAGTATTTCTTTTGCTCTTCTACCCCATTTTCTTTTTTCCTAATGAATTATAATTTTACTATATTTTACACTTCTTTAGTTTATATAATTTCTGCCAAATCCGTTCACTTTGTCAGAATTATTAGTACTGTGGATGGTGTAGTTGATGCCTGCTATTTGTTTTAATACCTGACCTAGTTCTTCATCATTACTGCTGTTGCTATTAATGGCTCACCCTGCCATTCTTATTTTTGTAGTAGTGTTATAGATGTCATAGGAGGCAATAGATATTTATTTTAATGTTGCTTATTATTCACTTTGTGTGTGTGTGTGTGTGTGTGTGTGTGTGTGTGTGTGTGTGTATAGTTGGGATTCTACTTGGATGCTATGAGTTCACAGGGTAGAGACTCTCTTGGTGAACTAAATCCAGTTAAGAGACAGCACACCTTGCTCCACACACAAAATACCCCTGGCTTAAGCTTCAGTAGTCCTTTAACACAGAGAATAAATACAAAAGCCCAAAACCAATAACCAGGTCACAAGTGAAAAAGGCTATAGGAAGGTGAGCTTGGATCCCACTAATGGAAATCTGTTTCTATTACAAAAAATAGAGAGAGGCTACAACACATCATCTCAAAGAACATATTGTTGCACAGCTGAATTACATCAGCAGGTCTGTACTGGTAAATTGAGAGCCACTGCAGGTTGAAACTCATACTTTAAGATAAGCACATGTGTCAAAGCTAAAATATACCAAAAGCACATGGCTTATTACAACAGATACTCAATAAAGGACTTCTTTGTAATAGAGGAAAAGAACTTCTTTTCAACAGATATGCAAGTACACACACCAAATTTATAATCACCCAACTAAGAAAATACTGAGGATGAAATTCCAGATGGCATCTATAAAACATTAATTATTGAAATGATTAATAAGTTAAAAAACAGATCTAAGGAGCAAATTAAGAGAGGAAACACAGACAAAAGGCCATTTCTAAAGATAGCAAAACTCATGGAAATGAAATACATAATAAATCAAGTAAACTTACCTGAAAGTATCACCAATAGATTAGATTTCACAGAAAACAGAACTTCAGGCTTCAAGGTATATAAACCTAAACACTTACACACAGTAAATAAAAAATAAAAAAGTAATGGCAAGAATATACAAGAATGCTGGGACAATATGAAGAGATAAAACTTGAAGGTCACTGGAATTTAAAAAAGAATGAAGATATAGGCTCATTTTTAAATAAAAAAATAATAGAAAACTGTCCAAACCTAAGAAATGATATTAACATTCTTATATAGTATGCATATAGAACCCCAAACAGAAAAGATCAAAAAAGAACCTTTCCAAGAGAAATCATTATCAAAATGTCTACCATGTAGAAAAAGAACAGAATATTAAAAGCTGCAAGTGAAAAACATCAAGTCACATTTGGCTGTAAGTCAATAACTCTTACATCTGACTTCTCAGCTAAGACTCTAAATTCCAAGTGGGCTTAAATGAGAGAATCCAAGCTTGGAGAAAAAAAAAAACTGTCAAACTAGAATGCTATCTTCAGCAAAGCTATTATTTGGAACTGAAAAGGATATAAAAACTATCCAATGTAAGGATAAACTAAAAGAATCCATGATTACTGAGCCAGCACTACACGACATGTTTAAAGATATACTATACATGGAAGAACACAAAAACAAACCTTAAAACTAACTCCTGAGTGGATGACACTCATAAGAAAAGAAATTAAGGAAATGCGGATTAATATATGAAATAAAGCAAAATGTCAGGAAACAGTAATCACCTCTCCATAATAACTGTAAATGACCTCAATTTTCCAAATAGAAGACACAGCCTTGGTAAAGTGGATTAAAGTCACAAATAAATGCTGTTTGCAAGAGACTCATGAAAGGTAAAGACATGTACAGGTCAAAATAAAATAATGACAAGCCAGGCCAGCTGCAGCTTCTGTCCCCCGCAGGACCCGCGGCCTGGAGCTAGGAGACCCAGCGCATGCGCGAGAAGATGGGCGGGGCCCAGGTGGTGAAGAACCTGGCCAAGAAGAAGGGCGAGTTCTGCGAATCCTGGGCCCCTGGGCGTTAGGAAGAGGGCGGCGGCAGCGCGGGGGCGGGCTCAGCGCTCCTGTGGGCCTGGCAGCGCCAGGCCTTGGCGACTTACCCCCAGCCAGTCGCGGGGACCCGAAAGGCCGCTGGAGAGACCCCGCGGGGGAACTGGCAGATCCCCTCAAGAAGAAGGGCGCAGCAGAGCAGGGCAGGAGGAAGAAGGCCGAGGCGGGGGCGGCCATGGCGGGTCCCGCCAGGCCCAGCGCGGCGGATGAGGAGGCCCAGCGGACCCTCCAGGATGAGCAGGTGGCGGACACGGACCCAGGTAAAGGTCGCTTCCTCGCGCGCATCTGTTTCCAGGGTGATGAGGGCGCCTGCCCGACCTGGGACTTCATAGTGGGCGCGCTCATCCTGCGCTCCACCAGCAGGGACCTGACGGACATCTTCGCTGCCATCCCTGGCAGCCGCGAGTTCGACGTGAGCTTCCGCTCCGCGGAGAAGCTGGCCCTGTTCTTCCGCCTCTACTAGGAGAAGAGTGAGCAGGAGGATTGCTGGGAGGACTTTGTGGTGCTGGGTCAGAGCAAGTCCAGCCTGAAAACGCTTTTCAACCTCCTCCTGAATAAGATGGTGGATGTGGAGGACACAGTGACCTGACTGAAGCGCCACTGCAAAGTGCTGGCGATGTCCCTGAAAGTGACCAACAGGTTTGGGATCTGGACCCGGGAGTACAAGATCGAGCTGCGCCAGGGGGAGGGCAAGTTAAAGTACTTATACTCTAGAACACACATTAAAACCTCCACCAGAGGGCATATAGAGCTGATAACTCAGCAAAGTAGCAGGATATAAGATCAACCATCAATACCTTTCCTATACTCCAAGAATCAATCTGCTGAAGAAAAAATTAGACAATTTCATTCACAATAACCTAAAAATACAATCAAATACTTAGACATAAATCTCACTAAGGAAATTAACGACCTGTGTAAAGAAAAGTACAGAACACTGACGAAGGAAACTAAAGAAGACCTTAGGAGATAAAAAGACCTCCCACGTATTTATTAGGCAGAATTAATATTGTCAAAATGCATATATGACCAAAAGCAATTGACAGATTCAATGTGATTCCCATTAAAATATCACTGACATTTTCCACAGAACCCAGGAAAAAAGTCCTAAAATTCATATGAAAGAATATAAGACATAAAATAGCCAAAGAAATACTAATCAAAAAGAGTGATGATATAGAGCCAGACACATCACCAGTTCAAAGCCAGCCTCAGCAAAATAGAGGTGCTAAGCAACTCAGTGAGACCCTGTGTCCCAATAAAATACAAAATAGCATTGGTAACTTGGCTCAGTGGTCAAGTGCCCCTGAGTTCAATCCAGGTACCCTCCCACCTCAAAAAAAAAAAAGTGATGACAGAGGCATCATAATACCTGATCTCAAATGATAACACAAAGTGAGAGTAACAAAACCAGCATGTTACTGGCATAAAAACAGACATGAAGACCAATGGATCAGAAGACACAAGAGACAAATCCACATCAATTCAGTCATCTGATCCTTGAATAAAGTGCTTAAAAATTGTAGAAAAGTTTACCTTTGTAACAAATGGTACCAAGATACTGGATATCCATTTGAAGAATGAAATGATGTACATTCCACTCATGCAGGACGAAGATGAACTCAGTGCTTCAAAGACCTGAGAATTAAACCAGAACACTGCAAGTGCTAGGAGAAAACAGTGTCAACACTCCCCATATATAGATATAGGCATTGGCTGGCTTAGTAAGACTCCTGACTCTCAAGGAACAAAACTGAGATTTCAGTAAGTGGGATGGCATGAAATTAAAAAGCTTCTGCATAGCAAAGGAAACAAAGGCATGAGGAAAGAGCCTACAGAAGGGGAGAAAATATTTTCTAGTCACTCTTGTTATAGGGGATTAATATCCATAACATAAACCAATCAATAATATATGGGCAAACAAGCTAAATTGACATATCTCAAAAGAAATACAAATGACCAACAAATGCATGAGAAAAATCTCAGCAACTTGCAGACAGGGAAATACAAATCAAAACCATACTGAGATTTCACTTCACCCCAGTTAGAATGGCAATCAACAGGAGTACAAATAACAATTATTGTTAAGAATGGTAAAAGGTATAGCTGTGCAGTGTTGGTACAATTGCAAATTGGTACAATTGAAAGGTTAATAGAATAGGTACTTGTCACTCTGTTTTTCTATATGCTTAACAAAACACTGTTGAAATCTTGTTCCCAGAATGTGCTGTACCCAACTGCCAAACGGCAGGATGCACTCCCTCACTCGGTTGCAGGCAAACTGCCCACTCGCCTTGATCCGTCAATGAACTTCCCTCCCTGCCCTCTCCAAGAAAAGTATATAAGCTCTGCTTAAGCTGTTCTCAGGGCTCTTTCTCTTTGCTCTAGTGAGCACTGAGCCCTAGCATGCTGGTCCTCAAATAAACCCTTTTGCTGTTGCATGAGGCAGTCTCTTGATGGTCTCTTCCTCTGGTCCCTTACACAATCACTTTGGAAAGCAGTATGGAACACCTTCAAAAGTCTAGGAATGGGATGCACCCATGGGACCTAATATACCACTATCTGGTTCTTTAGAGAACTAAAATCAGCATACTATAGTGATACACACATAGCAATGTTTATAGCAGCACAATTCACAATAGCCAAGTTTCAAACTAGCCCACGTGTCTATGAAGAGATGAACAGATAAAATGTGGTATACATACACAGAGTAGTTTTACTCAGCCATAAAGAATTAAATTATGTCATTTGCTAGTAAATGGATGGACCTGGAGAACATCGAGTTAGGTGAAATAATCCACACTCAGAAAACCGAGGGTAGAATATTTCCTCTTGTGGAGAAGCTAGAGAAAGAGAACCAATCTCAGAGAAATCGAAAGGAATCCAACAGAGTAGAGAAAGGCAATCTTGAAGATGGGAGGAGGGAAGGAGGGAAAAAGGACGATCTCTGCTTTCAGTCACCTTGAGGTAAATTTTGTTACTAGATATGCTATGTCCATGTGCCACTATACCACAGTGAATTCTGCTTATGTATATAATTTGGAAGTGCTAATTAAAATAATAACAACAATTAGAGGAATATCATTAGAGTAGAGCAAGCAGATGAGGGGGGGAGGGAAGGAATTAAGGGAGAGAAAGGAAACATACTAAAGAAAAAGACTGATCAAATGATGTGCATGTACAAATATGGCATAATGAATTCCACTATTATAATTCACCATAAAAAGATTAAATATTAAAAAAGGAATGAAAGTCCTCATTAACAGATATTTTATATTAGATATTAAACTAAGTTCACAGACATGAGCAACACATGATTTTTAAAAATATTTGAACAAAAGTTTTAAGAAAAGTAAATATATTTGGATGGAAGAGACTAACACACTTGTTACATCAGAGAAACAAAAGTTAATTTCTAATTTAACTTGGAACAAGAAAATATATTGAATATAAATTTTATGTACCCACCCACTCAGGTCAAGTATCCTATTCTGCTCTACATCTAAAAACCGCCATCCAAACAGTACAATGCATCTAAGCTATGAACACTCTGTTGTGAAAAGTAACCAAAAGATTATCAATAAAAGCAAAGGTTATCCTAAAAGAACAACAGAATAAACAAACTTGTGGCATTTTTAATGTGAAAATGAGAGAAGAGGAAAAAGGTATCACACTTAAATACAACTTCAGAGTGGATATTAAAGTTTCAAAACCATGTTGCTTCTTCTTCATACTACTTAAAAACTGAAGGCTGGAAAAACTGATAATTTTCTTAGAAAACCTGAATCACTAAAAACTGACTTATGAACAGAAGAGAAAACCTGCACTCCAAAGTTTCATGGCTTGCAGAGGTGGGACTTTTGGGAAGTGACTAGCTCTGACCTCAACGATGGGTTTGTCCACTGATGGAGCCACGACAGAATGGACTATTGGAAGGTGATGAAATTTGTAGTTGAAAGGAGTGGGGCCTTGAGAACATGCCCTTGGGGACTATATCTTGTCCATGGACTCTTCCTCTCTAGCTCTCTGCTTCCCAGTCACATGAGGTAAGTGGATTTGCTCTACCATGCCCATCAGTCATCATAATACTACACCTCACCATGGGCACAGAAATAATGAAGCCAGATGACCATGAACCAAAACCTCTGAAAATAGGAGCCAACATAAATCTTTCCTCCTTTGTCTTCTCAGGTATTTTGTCACATTAATGGAGTGCTATCTAGGAACAGGCTCAAATGCCAATGTTCTGGCTACTGTTATTTCTATTAGGTGTAATAAACTTTTCTTTGTCTCTCCTCAGGAATCCTGTGTCATCTGCCAGCATCCATAAAATTGATCAGCTTCCAAGCGGGTAAAATCTCAGATCTCTCATGGTTTTCAATAAGGTAAATTCTATTTTCATTATTATTACATGTATTTTGAAACTCTTCCACAATAAACATGTATTATATTACCTAAATAATAGAATTTCTTTGTAATTATTTGAATAGACAATCAAGGTCTTAACCATACTAATAATTAAAGGATATAACTATTTTATTCAGAAGGTTAAAATTATTAATATTCTCTCCTATTAGGAAAACTCAGGTTTTAGATTATCACATGAAGCTTTTTGTAAGATTCTCTTTTATTAGTTATAAATATTGATTAAGCTATGCCTAATTTAAATGCATTTAAGAAGACAAATTTTGGTACAAAAGCATGCATAAGCAGATTTTGTAAAGGCAATTGTATTTTACTTGCTAAGCCTGTCTATTTTATAATTCCTTGTATCCATCATCATAATCCTCATTGATTCTGTTTGTACCAGACAGCTTCTGTTATGGTTTAGATCTAGAGTTTCCTCCAAAGCCTCATGGGTTGAAGACTTCCCAAAAGCATTCACATTCAGAGGTGGGATTTTTGGGAAATGATTGGATCCTGATGGCTCCAATCTCATCAATTGATGGAGTCATTGATGGAATCATATTTTATGAAATTATTGGAAGGTGTTTGAAATTGCAGGTGGTGGGACATAGTTGAAGATATAAGGTCACTGGAAGTGTGACATGGCATATTTCTTCTCGATAACACCTCCCTCCTCCTCTCCCTTCTCCTTCTCTTCTCCCTCCTCCTCCTCCTCTTCCTTTTCCTCCTCCTCTTCCTCCTTCCTCCTTCCTCCTTCTTTCTTCCTTTTTCCTTCTTCTTTCTTCTTCTTCTCTCTTTGTTGGCTATTATGAGCTACTTCCTCTGCCATGCCCTTCTGCCATGCAGTACTACCTCAGATCAGGCCCAGAATGAGTGAAATCAGCAACTATGGACTAAAAAAATATGAAACTCTGAACCAGAATAAATCTTTCCTCTTCTAGGTTTATTTCCTCAGTTATTTATCAAGGTGATGGAACATTGACTAGCATAGCTTCTATTTTATGTGGGTATAATTTTAGAATATTATATAGTTCTTGCCCCAAATCTAGAATGTTTAATAGAAATTAAACAGGCATATAGTCAGAACAAGTAAACCCATTACCTTTCCACCTGCTTGATCAAGACATACCAATCTATAAATAATCAGTATCCAGCCCTCTCACCACCCCATTTCCTAATTCAGTAAACCACCATCCTATCTAGAATTCTGGAGTAGTTTAGTCATTTATTTTATTTTAAAAATAATGCTCTTAAAATTTATTTTAATTTATTTTGTACCTCTTTAAGACTGAGTAATAGTCAATTGTGTACATGTACCACATTCTCTTTGTCTGTTCATCTGTTAAAGAGCATCTACATTTGTTCCATACTTTAGCTATTGTGAATTGAGCTGCTATAACATTGGTGTGGCTGTGTTACTGAAGTATGCTGTGTTTAAGTCTTTGGAAATAAACCAAGGAGTGGGATACCTGGGGTCAAATGGTGGTTCCATACCAAGATTTTGGAGGCATCTCCATATTTCTTTCCAGAGTGGTTGCATCAATTTTCTATCCTACCAGCAATGTATGAATATAGCTTTTTCCCCACATCCTCACCAATCCTTATTATTGTTTGTGGTACATGCTAATTTAAAAGAGCTAAGAAAAAATAAACCATAAAAAATAGATAACCAAATTCAATATGTACACATATAGTGTAATTATCTTGCTATTTTCTGTCCAATTTTTGGTTTGATATTTTTACTATGATTTGTTCATTAACATTCCTGGATATTGATTTTTTAAAAAATGGGTAGTTTTCAACCATTTTTTGAGTAGTAGTTTCTGTTCCTGTTTGTCTCCCTCTTTCTAATAGTCCTAATAAGTATATGTTGAGGTACATATGATGTCCTATGTTTCTCTGTAGTTCTATCTATTTTTTCACTTTCTCCCTCTTTTTCACATTGTATAATTTCTATCAATCTGTCTTCAAGAGTTTTGGTTGTTCTCCTAATTGTCTATTATGGTTTAGACATGAGATATCCCCCCAAAAGCTCATGTGTGAGACATTGCAGGAATGTTCAAAGGTGAAATGGTTAGTTTATGAGAGCAGTAACTTAATCCATTTGATAAATTAATGATTTGAATGAATTAGTGATGTTAAGGTGTGGCTGGGAGAAGTAGGTCACACAGGGTGTACCCTTGGTATTGTATTATGGCTGAATCCTTGCACTCCAGCTCTCTGCTTCCTGGCTGTTGTGAACTGAGCAGTTTTTCTCTGCCTTTCCCTTCTCCACTCCATTCTGCCACATTTAGTGCCAGAGTAATGGAGTTGGCTAAGCATGGACTGAATCTAAGCAACTATGAGCCAAAATAAATTTTGAAGTTTTTCTTCTCAGAAGTTTTGGTCCTTTTATGACAAAAAATCTGACTACCATATGGTGCAAATATGTTAGGCCCCTCTAGTAGATTTTTAAAAAATTCTTGTCAATTCAAATTCATATTTTTTTATTAGTGCTGGATATTGAACCCAGGACCTTGCACATGCTAAGCAAGAACTCAACCAAATGAGCTATGTCTTTAGCCCCTCTCTAGTGGATTTTAAAATTTACTGATTGTACTTTTTCAATCACAGCAATTTCACTTGGCTCCTCTTTTGCTTCTTTATTGATTCTATTTGATGAGACACTGTCTCCCTGCCATCCCTTACTTCATTAAGCTGAGTTTGCCTCAGCTCTTATGCATGTATACAATGGCTGCTTTGAAGTCCTTGTTTACCAAATCTGACCTGGTCCTCCTCACTGGCAGTTTCTGCTGCTTGCCTTTTTGCATATATGCTACCCATTACTATTTCATTTTGTTGTTGTTAAAAACTGGATACGTAGCTTTAAAGAAGAATGAAATTATGGCATTTGCTGGTAAATGGATGGAGTTGGAGAAGATCATGCTAAGTGAAATAAGCCAATCCCAAAAAATCAAAGGCCAATTATTTTCTCTGGTATGATGATTCTAATTCACAATAGGAAGTGGGGCACTAGGGAAGACTAGATTTAGCTTAGATTAGGTACAGGGCAGTGAAGGGAGGGGAGGGAAGAAGATAAGGGCATAGGAAGGATAGTAGAATGAAACAGACATTATTACTTTGTGTACATACATGACCACATGACCGACATGATTCTACAACATGTACAATAAGAAAAATGAGAAATTGTACCCCATCTATGTATACAAACTACATAAATGCTTTCTACTGTCATGCATGATTAATTTAAAAAATTAGAAAATTTTTAAAAAGACTGAACATTTTAGATTTTTTGTGCTAGCTTTGTATACTTACTTCCTTTACCTTCTCTATATTTGTTGCTATTAGCTTGTTTGTTTTGTAGTGTGCCTAGGCTGACTTGTGAATCTGCTCTCTCCACAGTATGAAGCATTATTAATGTGTGGTGGTAGTGGAGGGCAGCCTTGGCCATGTGCACAGTCATCCTACAATGTTACTAGTTTTGTCAGGGTTCCTTCTCACTGTCACTTTCCCCTATCTTCATTGTGCTGCTTGCTTCATTTGTTGTTATTCCCTCAACATGCTCCTGTCCTTTAGGTTCACTAGTTACTCACTGATTTCTCTATTATTTTCAACAATACTCTTCAGATAAATTCTTCAGCAGTCTGATCCAATTAAATTTGGGCAGGGGTAGTTTTGGAAGCCAGTCATCAATTGGTTCTGACCCCAGAAGGGCTCTTTCCCTGGTTCCCTTTGATGAAGCAGCTATCCTGTAGTTCAGTTTGTGAAGGACATATTTTCTAGAACTCTTTGAATGGACCGTATAAAATCTCTCCAAAAGAGCACCAAAGTCTGTTTTCTTATAAACTACCCATTTTGTGAAAACTGTCTAAGTCACTAGTTGCTCAGTTGGAAGTGACACTAGTCTATGATACTCTGTTTGCTTCTCCCCTGCAAGTGAGTTACAGTGAAGGCTGCCAGAGCCCTCATAGTCTCAGACTGCCATGCTGACAAGTCACACCTCCACCGTGTGGGTCCAGGGGTAGAAGGAAGGCTCCAGCTCCTTAGTCACAGTCACAAGGCATTTAGCCCCTTAAATTTAGAGTTGAAAAGGATGAGAAAGGCTGGTGGGCTACCCATCCTGAAATGTACTCTGAGCCATACCCACTTTGAGTGGAGCTTCCTTCAAACTGCTCTGAGTGTTGGAATGGGGAAAGAGGGTGCAAGGTCTAGCTAAATGCAAGAGACTCTCATTGTTTACACTGATATTTAATTGATTTTCTTGAATAAATATTTTATAGGCCCTTTATAACAGTTTTAGAAATTAAAAAAGGAAAAAACAAAAACAAAATAAAAGACTAAGTGTTTCTGTCAGCTTTTGCTTATTTCCATGAGGTTGGCCCATGGAATTTCTAACAAGTTTCTGTGTATTTATCTGTCAATAAACAAATTGGAGTCCTCACAATAGAGTTGGACATTTTGCTTTTAATAAAATATTAGAAAACAAATTCAAAATATTCTGTTAACATTATTTCCTTTATAATATTAAATATTTTTAAGTCACAATTTTTAATGGTTATTTTGCCATTCCACCCTAGGAAGGTACAACCAATACTCTAGGAGCCTATTAACTCTTCTTGCTACCACATGTTGCTCCTTTTATTTTGCTCCTTTCCCTTTCTCTCTTTGTCTCCCTCCTTCTTTTCTCCCTTGATTGTCCCTTCTTACCTTATTGCTTCATTCCTTTCTTTCTTCTCTTTCCTTTCTTGGTTTCTCTTTCCTTTTTTCCTTCCTTCCCTATTTCATATTTCTCTCTCTCCATTTTCTTTCTCTTCTTCTCTTCCCCATCCTCCTCTCATCCTCTTCCTGATCATCATCATCTTCATCTCCTCCTCCTCCACCTCCTCTCCTATCTATCTATCTATCTATCTATCTATCTATCTATCTATCTATCTATCTATCTCTTTTTTTGGACAAAATTGTCAGGGCTGGCCTTGAA